ATCTCTGATCGATCTGGACCCTGGCCAGGGCCAGTCCCTCTAAATACTGCACTTTCCCATGGTGGGTTTCACTCTGGGGTGAAGATAGGAACAGTCTGAGAGTGCCTGATGCCCGAGATGCTGAATAGCAGTATCGTGACTTCTGCCTGCCTCAGTTTCCCACAGCTTTAATAGAGCAATAACAGCACTGGCAAGGCTTGAAAGTAGGGGAGGGGCAGGAGAGCAAGAGCTGCCACAGCAGTTTGGAAAGAGAAAATGCAGCGTAAGTGCTGCATCATTACTTTCAGTGACTCTCTTTCTGACCACAGGCACAAAGCCCGTGCGATTGCACTCATCTGGAGCGCGGCGTCACCATCGCCCTCTTCACCACCATGCCCAGCACGGCCTTGGGGAGAGGTCAGGGGAAAGGACTGCTCACCAAAGTCATGAGCATCATTTGTGACAGTGCCCTCGCCTTCTGCGGGAGCCAGACAGCCACTGTGGGCAGCATGGAGCAAGTCCTGGCCTCGGAGAGCTGCTGGCAGGACACGGTTAAGGGAGTGCTGAGGGGAATGGCTGCATCTCTCATGACTCCTTTGGCTGCCCGCCAGGGAGCCATGTGACTCCTTGGTCAAAAGAGTCCTCTCAACCATGAGACACTTTTTTCCCAGTCTGGTTGTACCTTTTCTTTTCTGAAGTTAAAAGGAAACCAAACGTACCCGCAGAACTTTCCACATTAAAGTCATATTGTAGTCCGATGACTCAGGGTGAGAAATTCAAGGGGAATGAAGATGAAGGGAAACATTCCTGAATCAGATCTGTTGTGCTGGGCCTTAAAGATGATTTTGCTGGATGGAGAACAGCTCTGATGCAGCACAGTAAGCAAGAAGTAAAGGATGGGGCTTAAATCCCTTCCCTGCTGCTGTGGGCTACTGCTAAATCTCTCAGGGTAGCTTCAAACCCAGTGGACTTTGACGCTATCAAGAGGGCTGAGGGTGGAAGCACAAATAAACATGGCTTCTGATTCACAGTGAATTCCTTCTTCTCTACTCCCATGGCCTAAAGGGTGTATCAACTAGCTTTACAGTTTTTGGTTTGCTTTTTTCCATTGGCACTGCCCCTAATAATTAGATTGGCACATCCCTAGTAGACTCCAGGGAGTCTATTGTTCCTACTCTGTGCCTACTCTGTCTCTGGGGAGCTCTGCCCAGGGTAGGTGCTTCTGAGGGGAGGGATGGGGTCAGGTTATTGTTGTTAATGTCACTCTGGTTATGTTGTAAAAGATGTATCAAAGAGAAAATTCTTGCACTATGACCTAAAGGTCAGCAGACTCTGGATTAGGCTAATCTCTAAAACTTTGTACCCTAGACAGATCCTTTCGACCGAGAGTAACTTACCTCTAGGCACAGAGCTTTGTTCTGTGTTTTGTGATCTCCATTGTTCCAGGGAAGCTCCACAGCTGAGCCAGAGGTTTGTTCTGTGTTCTCTTGCTGGGCCATGATCCACTAATTGTTGTGTTGAGGTCAGGCTTCACACCTTGAGCTAAGGATGAAAGAGAGCAGGGGAGATGAGAAGGCCTTGCTTGCAGAGGTGACGTGTGCCACACAGCCTCAGCCAGACACTGGCTTTGAAGCCAGCATGCTGGATTCATGGTCAGAGCACCTTGGAAGTCATAAAGTCTGCATCTCACAGTGGCTTTGTGCTCTCTTCAGAGAAAAAGGGCAAAACATTTTGAAAATTGCCAGCCAAGAGGTTTTCCAGGCTTGTCTGTCTCTTTAGGGCTCTTGTAGGCTGCACTGACTGGCTGGAAAAGCTGTGGATGGAGAGTTGCAAGTCCAGAGATGTCCATTAACCAGTAACATAGAATGCAAGTTGTGCCAAGGGTGTGGAGGTGCAGGACAGGATTCAGAAACAGCAGCTTGCTCCTTTGTTTGTAACCCCCAAACGCAGACATGCTTCTGAGCAGAGCCAAGGTCTCCCCTTGGTGTAAATACTCACTTTTAAGGAATGCACAAGTAAGCATGTGTGCCTGGCCCTGTGTTCTCCTCTCCTTTCCCCACCCCAGTTATGTGGTGTGCCAAAGTCAGTTCCTCAGCAACAAGACTTGCCAGGTGGCACCTGATGAGATAATTGTGCCCCTGGGACATTAGGAGTAATAATGTGCAGCCAGGTGCTCCTGATCCTTCCATGTGGGTGTGATTTTCTGTTGTAACCACACCCTCAAGTGTTGTCCTACTGCAATTAGGAAATTTGTTCAGTTTGGGTCAAGTACTTCTATTAGGGTGCTTTTCACACCTTTTCACACACATGTGCTGGCATGGAGAAATGTGTGGATGTCCAGGGCCAGGAGATGCACTAGGCTGAGGGGTGTTCCTCCAATGAACAGGGAAGAGATCCTACTCCTCACCACTTTAACCTCTGCTTATGTCCAAATCTGCACCTTCCCTTCATGAAGAGCCATTAATCTGAGCATTGATTCAGGTGCAAATAATGAAATGGCTCCCTTGGACAAGATGCTGCTCCATTTTGGGTGTAACAGATGAGGAACCTTTTAGGAGTTTGCCACTTTTGCTTCCCGGGATTTCCATTTTGCAAGAAGGTCTTTTAAATCTTAGACACGAGGGCCACACAGCAGGAGATAGCAAATAACAGTTCCTTTTTGTAGCTTGAAAATGCCTTGCTGTCCCAGACTGGCTTGCCTTGCCATCTTACTCCTGGTGTGGAAGCTAGAGGCTGCTTGCTCCAGCTCTGGGGAAGCCTTTCCTGACAGTGCACAGAGAAGTTCTTCCAGCATCGCCTGCTTGACCTGCAAGCAGAGGAGCTTGGCTCTGTGCCTTCATGCAGGGAAGCACATGCAAGGCTTGTGCTGTTTGCCCTTCTCACAGCCATCTGGGTACTGCCTAAAGTTGAAGTTTAAACTTTGGTTCCACACGAACATTGCCTGAATAACTTCAAGATTTAGGTCACAATATTTTGTTAGGAGAGGGCTGTTTTTTTGGAAAGAGGGACTGGTGCATTTTACCTCTCTAAAAACTGAAAAACTCTTTCAGCACTAATCAAAGTCCTGCTTTTCTTTCTTATGCCCAGATAGGATTTTTTGAGGTGTATCAGATCTCTTTTTTTACATGACAGTTGCCATTGTATACCTAATGAGAAATCAGCTTTAATTTTCTGATAATAGCTGGCACAGATTATGTACACTCTAAGACATCTTGTGAGATAATTAAAGTGTTGACTGAAAACATAGCACAGCAAAAGGAATGTTTCTTGAAGTGGAGCCACTTTACAGGTTGATTGTGTGTGTTTTGTTAAATGCAGCCCAGGCATAACTACCCTGACTTGGATGAATTCCCCAGAAATTGGCACCTTATTTTTTTGAGAAAAAAAAAATCTTGAAATTCTCTCAGTTTCTGGCTCCTTTTAAAATTAAACAGATGTATATGAATATACTGCTCGTGAAGGGTGCCTGAATCACAGCCCTGAAAAATGAATTCCTCTTCTTACCCACAAAACCAGGACAGCACAAGCAGAGGGTGTGTGAGCTTCCCCACTCCACCCCATCCCCATGTCTCAGCCATGACCTAGAGGGGCAACCTCTAGCCAGGCAGAAGCGGGTGCCTCAGTCTCTGTACTTATTTAATCCCTGGCCAACCTGCCAAGGCTGCTGAAGAGGGTGCCAATTGTGGTGGTGGTTTCTGTGATGTGGATAGTCATCCACTGGGAACTGGATTAAGACCATCAACTCGTTTCAAATACTCTAGGCCACAAAGCTTCTGCCAACCAGTCACCATTTTTTTGGTCACTACCGACTTGGGTCATGTTTGGATCAGTGATGAAAGGCTCCATATCCCAATACTGAGCCCCTGAGCCATACGGTTTCCCGAAATAATTTTTTTTAAAGAAGGAAAACATTATTTTTTGTCCTAGATTCTACTTTGATCTGCTGATTTTTAATGTGCATATTGGCACTTTAAGACACATAATTTTCATTACTTGATTGTAGAGGGCTCAGATGATGGGAAGTATTTTGGAAGATGGCAGGTGGCAGACCCATGTGGTGTGATCCGAAATAAGCTCTCAGAGATAGTGAATACACAATGGCACCCCAGCTTACATTATATTTTGACCTAAAATTGATTTTACACCTTGAAATTTATCTCACAAACCCTCAGGAAAAAAATTACCATTAAAATTGAAGATCAGATTCTCTGTTGCTCTTGTTCTCTCAGAGAAATTTAGTTGTGTGTCAGATCTGGTACCATTCCCAGCAGCTGTTTATATTGTCAGTGGCCCCTGTTGGTCTCTGTGCATGCCCACTAGCACTTTGAGTTGTTGGGAGGTGATTTATTTCTCAGAGATAGAGACTAAATCTTTTTGCTTAAATTGCATGGCCCAGCAGGGCACAGAAATGGAGTTCCAGCTTAATCCCCAAATAAGTTCTTCTCTTTAACACACCTGAGAGTGGAGTTAAGGCCAGCTGAAATACTTTTGTTGGCAATAAATTATATTTTTTCCTGGGGCTGTAGTTCTCGCCCAGAAGAGACCCAGCCCCAGAGGACACCCAGCAGCACATTTTCAGCATGCCAAATGGAATATTCTGGCCTTTCTCATGTAATGTATCACCATGCAGCGTTGCCACCATCACTCCCTTGAGCAGAAGCAGTTCCTGAAGGGTAGCTGGTTTTGTTTTTCTGGAGGTAATTTCCATTGAAGCTAGCATGAGGGCAATACTTGGATTGCTTTAGTTCCTTGGAACACTGAGTCACCTGTCTCTTTCTTCCCTGCTCCACATGGAAGTGACACATGCTGGGATAACAAAGGGGTGACTGTTAAGATGATAGAGAAATCTGAGCAAAATCCATTTGCAGCTATGCATATTCAGAAGCAACAAAGAGAGGAAAAAATGTTGGTATTTCTTGATGGTATTGTGAGGCTGTGGTAGAACTTGCTTTCTCGCACACAGGTGAAGTGTCAGAGGCATCTTACCAGTTGTTTATTAGTCTTGGACTGTGAGGCATGTATCTTGGATTTCCTTTTATTTTGTTAAAAAGAAAATGAAACTACTTTATTTTATATATCCATCTGCTGTGAAAAGTTATCCCTGTTAAGAGAAATAGAGGAAGACAAAGAGTAGGGAAGAAATTGTGTTTGAAAGATTCTATGTAGCCATATAGATACACATAGGAATAAATTTTTTTTTTTTTTTGTAAGTGTGTCTCTTCTCTTTTAAGAAGCTTCTCCGCTTATTTGGAGCTCTTTATTTATAATTTCTCTTTCCAGAGTAGAAGCTTCCCTTTTAGTGACAGCTGGGGCTTAAGTTCATGGAGAGCTGGAAGCATACAGGCTTTGGAGAATTTGTAGTTACATATTTAAACAGACCATGTCACATATGTAGAAAACAGGAGACACACAGTGCCCAGCACCCTTGTATGTTCCCTGAGTACAAAGAGATTTTAAGACATGCTTAACTCTTTCCTGAAACAAGCTCTAAATTTGAGTGGCATCTCAATTTTACTTTTTCCCTGCCATACCCATTAAAAGAGACCTGAAAATGTATTTTGTCAGAGAAATCCCAGTTTGGGACACACAGGTTTATGTAAGTCAGTCAGATTTTTCCTTTCAGCTTGTTGGCTGTGAGTGAAGACCAAGCTTACCATCCTAGGAGTTTTGAGATGAGAGGTGATGAGGAGTGATGGTGGCATGGGAGGGACAGCCAGGGAAGGGCCTGAATATTCCCCAGGGAAAAGGGAATGCAGGGAAGGCTGGGGTGGAGAAACCCATCTGGAAGGAGACTAACAACTGAAAGGAAAGTAAGAAGTCTATGAAGCCTGGAAAAGGTGGATGTGGAGGATGAAAGAGGCTTTAGGAGAGCTGCCAGAGAGGGAGCTGGTTCTTGGGAGGTTCAGCATTTAGTGAAATCCTTGCTCAACCTGTCTTGTTGGTCCAAGTCATGACCCCATCATCTGGTCTGAAATTTAATTACTTGACAGCAGCTTTTTTTGCCCCTCAGCATGAGGATCATGTCCTATAACCAGGATGCAAGTTAGGAAGCGTGCTCAGGAGGTGTGTGAGCAGCGTGGCTCAGCAAACCCAGCTCAGCCCAGAGCCACCCTCTGTGCTGCTGTGACCTGTTTGTCCCCAGCAGGATGTGACTGACCATTGCTGGCCAGGGAGAGACACAGCACAGCACAGGGGGCAGGTCACAGCCTGCTAGTCTCAACCACCAGAGCATGATCCCCTTTTTCAGAGGAGAAGTACATGACAGGGAATGTAAAAGAGAGAAGAGACAAAGCAGAGTTTACATTAATGAGAGAATTTGGTATTTGAAGAAGATTTTCTAAATGGCTGCTCCACATAAATTGTGCTCAGCTCTATGGCTGCAGGATTTTGGGGTCTCTGATGAAGCTCTTGAATTGTCCTAAGGACAGTTTTGCAATTTAATGTTCAAGAAACATAAGGCCTTTACATGGGTGCACTTTTAAACTTAGAAATTCAGAAATACTCTAATACTGGTGGTCAAAAGAGATGCGGAATAAGGGGTGTCTTTACAGGTTTTAATTTGTGGGCATGGGGTAAAAATATGGTTTGGCCTGAGAGTTTACAACTGCAGTGTGTACTGGGAACACACAGTATTGCAAATCTTTGGTGCTACACGGGTGTGTGAGGTGGAACTCACACAGCCACTGCCGAGGGGATGCTCAGATTTGCCTTCCTCTAGAGCATGAATTAATTTCAAAAGCCAGCTTTCAGGGAGTATAGCATTGCTTGTGTGCAGCCAAACCATAAGGGATTTTTTTTTCCCCCAAATTAAATTCAGCTCTTTCCTTGCCATCTTTAGAACTATTTTCAATATTTCAGCTGACTGGGATCCAGTTTTTAAAATATATATATAGGACTCTTTGCTTGGCACAGAATAGAGACCTTGGATTTTATAGCATTTATGCACTACAAGGGTCTAGTTTACTACTTCGTGAAGTGTTTTTAGCATATCTCTTTTCTAACTAAAACTAAGTTCAGAGCAATTAATATTTCAATGCTTCACATCTTCTCTGTTGCTTTTTTTTCATGGATACAAATATATATAAAACATTTATAAGGTATAGAAAGGCTTCAGAGAAGGTCTGAGTGGTTTTGAGATATTCTTTTTACCTTTTCTTAGAGTCCTCTTTTCAAAGTTACATACCATTTTAGTTGAAATCAGTGCCTCATCCATACATACACGATTTTGGTGTGTGTCCAAGCCTGATCCTCAGGGTTTCACTCAGCACTTTTCACCAAGGGCATATATGTGTAGACCTGAGACCAGGCTAATGTTAACATAAGGTGGTTGTTGTATCTCATCCTCCTCAGGAACTCAAAATCCTTGTGATGAAATTGGTATCTGAAATAAGCTATCTTATCAAGGTTTGTCTCAGTGTAGCTATGCCATTTCAGTCTCGCCATACAGTTAGAGATCTGTACTTTCTTTTTCTTTTTTCCCTCTATTGTTGTTTCTAAAATAAAATGCTTAAGGAAGGAGATAACTGATAGAGAAACACATGAAACTCAAAGGAGGGTCAGACACCACCAATGATTCCCTTTGGTGTAGCCTTCTATTTGGAATAAACCCCAAGTCACTCGCTTTCCCAAAGATGTGAACCCCAAAATACACTTCCCAGGGACAAGGAAGCACCTGGCAAATACCTGGAGTGAGACTTACTCCCACGTTCAGCAAGATGTGCAGGCACACACATGCAGTTTCCCGGGCAGAAGAGTAAATGCTGGCTCCAGTGTTTCCAAGTTGAGAACACATATCTGGGCAAGCATAGGTTATTATAACTCTGGACAGCAAACCACAAAGGCATTCAAAGAATCACCACCACAACATTTTACAGAATATTATTACAACTGTCACTAGGAGTTCTCTCAGAAATCTGGAAATTGCAAAGGACAAAAATTTAACCACTGAGGAGCAGGGAATTCTCAAAAATTGTCTGGCAGTATGCTGGCATATTTGACCAGACAGAAAGGTGCTAGACTTTGCTGCTAATGATCTTGGAGTGTAAAGAGGGAAAGTAATGTCAAAATAATATTCATGTGTCTCTCTTCCTTCAAGATCCTAATGCATTATCATTAATGTTTGCATGTCTGCTTGCTGTCCTCCTCTATATTGCACCATCTCTGAAGCTGGACTAGCTCCAAAGACTAACTTAAATACTCTTCAAAATCTCACATCTCATTAGAGCTGAGATTTTGGAAATAAGTTTGAGTTTAAAGAGAGAGAAAGTAAACAGAGCTTTCTTATACAACCTGTGCCAGCAAAATGCATCACATCAAGGTTGCATTTAAATTTTATCTGGGTGGGCATGACCTCTTGTCTGTTAAAAGCCTTATTTTGTGCTTTTGTATATTCTGATAAGATGCACGGCATTTTGTGTTGCTCCAAATGTTAATTTTACAGTATGAATCCTTTCCCCTTGTTTCCTTGATGCAAGAGGCTATCAGAAGAGAAGTAGGGATATGGACGCAAAGATCTGGAAGCTGGCACCTTTGAAACCTGGGAAGTTTGCACAGGAAGGGGTTTTGGTAGTGTGAGTCCTCGGGATATCTTTTAGGAGGTGGAGCAGGGTCCTTTGCAAAGATGCAGAGCTTGAATTCCTTCCGTGATTCCCACATCAGCAATGCCTGAGGAATCTTCTTCATGCTGCATCCTTTTTAGATGCTACTTCAACCCAAAGTGATCCATGAGCACATTGCCTAAAAGCTTCTGGTTGCATTACAAGGAGTGAGATGATTAAACACACTAATCGCCATTTCTGCCAGATTTCAGGAAAAGCAGATTTGTGGCATGAACAAGCTGGCTGATGTTTCTCTAGGACTTAAGGTTTTAGGCTCCTTGTGGGCTTGCTGCACCCCAGAGCAATTCTGTACCTGGCGTCTATGTTCTTCTGTGATGTTCTGGGCAGAAAAAAGGTTTATCCTGGAAATACCTGAGAGAGCATGAAACATTATTTTTACTGCTAGTCATGCTCACCTCCCTTCAAAATCAGGTGTCTCTAATACTGACAGTTCAGGTTCTTGTCTGTAACACAGTATTGGCACTGTGGAGATGTGAAAGCGCCCAGCTGTGCAAAATCCTTTTGGCTGGCACTGCTCTGATGACTTGGCATTTGGTGAAGATCTGAAAATTGAAGTTTAACTTCAGTTTGACAGGACAAGAGGACATCAGCTTAAGCTGTGCTAGGGGAGGTTCAGGCTGGAAGTCAGGAAGAACTTCTTAATGGAAAGGGTTGTAGACATTTACTGCCTGGGGAGGTGCTGGAGTCCCCATCCCTGGGGGTGTCCAAGGATCACCTTGGTTAATATGGTAGGAATTGGTCACAGGCTGGACTTTATCTGGGAGGTTTTTTACAGCCTTAAGGGTTCTATGATCATATCCTCTCACTTCATCCCATCCAGCTCTGGGACCATTTTATTCTCCAGCATAGTAATTTGCAACCAGGAGAAAATGCAATTGTACTTCTGAAGGTATAAAAAGCCTCATAAGCTGTAGACCACAGGGTGAATGAGAATGTGTCGGACCAGGGATGATTTTTAGGCAACCTGAGTTCATAAGCTGCGTAAAATTGTGGATTACCTTAGAGTCATATGAACCTGTAAGGCCTATAAATGGACAGAAGACAATTCCTAGCTCCTCAGGGGTGCAGCATGCTCATTTCCAACCAAAATGACTTAGGAGATATTACACACGAAGCCTGTTGGTCATCCAGGGCTGACTATTGTGCCTGACGCAGGAAATACTGATTCTGGGGGGAAATATGTTTGTGTATGTGCTGGTGGTTTTATAACTGCTGCTTAGGTCTGGGGCTTCTGAAGTGGCTCCAGGGAGCCTGGATTAATGGGTACAAGAGGTGCAGTACCGTAGGAGGATTTCCACAGCTTAGCAGCTGATATCACCACAGTGTAAGTGATATCAGCCTCTTGCTGAACGAAGCAATCTGCTGTACTGGGTTCCCATCCAGGGTCAGTTCTGGTGTCCTGTGGCCTGATTGCACCAAAACACTGAAGTCTGGGAGTATCCCACTGGCTCTGGCTTGAGCTCAGTGGGAGCATATGTGTGTTGAAAACTTTCCACACACACTTCAGAGCATGTCAGAAGCCTGGCGTGCTCCATGGGCCAGCACCAAGAGGCCGAGTGTCATCAGCAGCCGCCAGTGACGTGCGTGCTTCGGTCACAGCCTGGTCCCCCGGGTGGGTGGTTGCTTTACCAGACTGTTTTCACTTACATTTTTCTTCCTGACCAGGAATGTTTTGTTTGTCCCTTCCCTCTTTGCTTGCACAGTTGTGTTGCTCTTTTTGAGAGCTGCCTTTAGGAGCTCAGACCTCCAGGGAATCTGCCTGCAATCAGCAAAATCGGAAGTGACAGATCTGCATACGGAGCACGCTGAACGTGTCACGTCATGTACTGTCCAAAGGAGGTCTGAGCTCTTCAGGAAATCAGCCTGGCTTTCAACTCTTTGGAAAAGCTGGCTGCTAGACAGATTGCCTTTTAATTCTCATTCTCTGCAGCCATCCCTAGCACTGCTAAAAGCTTTGTGAAGGTAGCCACCTTCTCTGAAGGCCTGAGGAGCATTCATTCCCTTGCATGCCTGTGCTATTGCCAGTGCACTTGGCCAAAGATGCACACATTCCCTGGCTATGGCTATAGCCTGGATCCCATCCCAGTGCCTCATTTCATAGAGGTCCCTCCAGGGCTGCCTCACCATCCCATCCATACACAATTTGTGGTGTGACCCTTTATTCCTGGTCTTCTCCATCTCTGCTCTAGGGGCGGTCACCCCAGCATTGTCCTTTCCCATTCACTGCCATTCTAACATTTCTATTTATTTGTTTTAAGCTGGGCTCTACAGCTGCCCAAGCTTCTATCTTCCAGCAGGCTCAATCATCAGCACCCATGGGGTCATCATCCACCCCACATTTCCTGGTCTAGCAGGGAAGGAAAGGGGAAAACATGCACTGGCAAGGTCCTGCACAGGACAGGAACACTAAGGGAACAATCATGTGCACGAACACTAATCCTTGGCTTCCTAGTATACTCATTGCTAGTGAGAATAGTAATTTCTTTGGAGTCCCCAGAGACTTGTAGACTTAAATGGACTTTGGCTCAGGTTGCCTTTTTTTGATACAATTATTGGCTTTAACAATGTGAGTGAAATTACTCCAGTTCCCTTCCAGTTTGAGACACGGCCGATTGAAGGGGGAGGGTGTGGAGTTGCAGTAAGAGGAAGGAAGAGGGAATAGTCTCCTTTGAAAGCAGGTAAAGGTTACCAATTCTCCTAATTGCATAAAAATGAAAAGCTAAGCCATAAACTGTAGTGAAGTCTGAGATTAATTGACACCCTGGTATTGAAATGCAGAATGCATTCCATCCAGGCTGGATGGAACTGATAGAGAGGAGCTTAGTGCTGGAAAAGGCACTTACCTTCACTTGTGTGTGTGACAAGTCATCCCCAGCCTGGCAAAGGAAGATTAGTGCACACCCATCAGGATTAAAAGGCATGGACACGAGAGACTGACACCAGACCCACACAGCCCCACTGATCTGTGGGGAGCTGACACCTCAATCTGGCCATAGCTCAGGCCCCTGTATCATGAAACATTCGAAACCCACCCATCTCTTATGTACTGATGAACATGTAAAGGAATAATTTTGCTATGAGAACGACTTCCCAGTCGAATTAACCCAGTGAAAAGGCTCCTGCTGTTTTCAATGAGCTTTAGATCAAGCCCAGGAGTGGCTGATAACACACACTGTGTTCCTGGTGGCCCAGAAGGGCAGCAGATATTGCTGCTAATGTTTGGCAGCTCCTGTTAAAGCCAAAGCATACCAGAGTGCCTCCTCAGAGAGGACTTGCTATGGAGTGACAGAAAATTGGCTCGGTGTTAAAATCCAGAGATGTTTTCAAAGTCAACTGGAATACATATTTGTGTGTCGGATTTTTTACTTTGAAAAATTCAATATGCAGAAACCACAATTGCTCTGTGATAAGAGAGAGGTAAACAAGGAGAAGAACAAAAGGAGCTGTGAAAGGCAGTGGCGTGTTGCCATCTATTTGAATGTTCATCTGCAGCGACATGCAGAGGTGGATTCATACAACCAAATTTAGGCAATGGGGAGAGGTACTCAAGTTAGGAGTCCAGTCTCACCGGATGTCTTCTGTAGTAAATGGAGAGACAGGCAGGTCCATGGAGTAATTCAATCCACCTCTGTTCTGAATCATCCTGAGAGGTGTCTGACTCCTTCCTCGGTGGTAGAGGGAACCTGGTACACCTGGTTGCTCCCTTCAGGTGCATCTAGTGGCACTGTGAATGGACAGAAAACAGGACTCAGTGAAGAAGTCTACCAAAGCTCAGGATGTTCTATGATTCTGTTAAAAAAATTGTTTTTTATTACTATTAAAATTAACTAGACCTAACGTGGTTGCCTGAACGCTGAGCTGAAAGAGAATTAAAAGGGAGTGAATGGGATGCTGAAGAGGCAGAGGACCAAACTCTGTTCTGTGCCTATGATCCACCACATCCAAGGAACTCAAGCAGTGTTGGGGGGAATAGACAAATGGCAATCTTTGTGCTGCATGGATTCTTAGGATGCTAAATTGGAGCTGTAACAGGCCTGTGTAAATTGAAATAGTCCTGAGGTGTTGCACCAGTGGCATCTTTCTTTAGGCTGCTGGACTGAGGAGGGTGACAACACTGACAGATAGTTGCAGTTCTTTGAAAGTGGCAGAGAGTGTCATCCTGAGTTGGAAGGAACAGACAAGGATCTTTGAGTCCAACCCCTGGCCCCGCACAGACACCCCAACAATCCCACCCTGTGCATCCCTGAGAGCATTGTCCAAATGCTCCCGGAGCTCTGGCAGCCTTGGGACCTAACCATTACCTGGGCAGCCTGTTCAATGCCTGAGCACCCTCTGGGGGAAGAACCTTTCCCTGATATCCAGCCTAAACCTCCCCTGACACAGCTTCCACTTATAACAACCCACTCCTGTTCCTGAGGCAAAACAGCTTCTCCAGATTTGTTTTGGTTTATCAACATACAAGTGAGAAGGAAGCAGAGCAAAGTTTTCTCAACCAGGTTAGGGGCTTGGCAGCACTGTGGGCAGGGGGAACATAATCTCTAGAGCTGCCAGCATGTGCCTGGGACTTCCAGGCAGTGAGGGTGAGTCACAGGGAGGGACAGAGAGAGAAGGGAGCTCTGATCTGGGAAGGTAGAGAGTGTGGGTGGAAGGCAATTACCATGAAACAGCAAAGGGCTGCTGCGTGAGTCAATTGAACCCTATAGATACTAACAGTTATCATAAATACCGAAGAGGTTTAGCAACCACAATTTTCAGAAAGTAATAAAACAAAACTGTTTCCTGTGGTTAGAAAGAGCAGAGAAGGCAACGTGAGCGGGTGAAGAGGAGACGTCAGGACTGAGAACACGAGGAAAGGAGCATTGTGGAGGATGACATCATGGAGCACGGATTAGCAGCAATTATGTGGCATGGGCACAAGATTGGATGATTAGCTTTTCCAGAAAGATGTTGTGCTGTTTTTCCCAGTAATCTCTTATTAAATGGGTGCTAGAATGCATGAACAATACAAGAAAACCCCTTCTTATTCTAGTGGTTTTCTTTCCACAACTAAGTAAGTTTTGCCCATAAAGCATTGCAGGACACTATTTTTTTCCCTAGTGCCGCTTCACTTCAGTGCTATGTGTCTTTCTTGCCTTGCTTTTCAGGTGGCAGTAAATATGAGGCAGTCTGTAAAAACATTTTTAACAGTTGTGTTGCTGTAGAACTGCAGGCTGCATTCCTGTGCATGCACAGGAGACAGGTGAATTGAAATTTTACTGTTAGTCCTTGTCCTGGTATTTTCTGACTTGCAAGAGCTTGACCTTATGAGCTGAAAATGTTAGTGTAGAGTTGCTTTCTATCACTTAGTATTATGTATGCTTAGAGAAGTTTGAATGGAAAGACTGGCAGAATGAACTAGGACATAAAACCCTGATGTAAAGTTTCTTTTTTTTTGCATTTTAAGTAACAGTTCTTTTAATACTTAATTTTTTGAGGCTTTATCTGTATCATAACCTATTGGCTCACTAATTTTCAAATTACCAAGTTAATCGAAGCCTGTTAAATCCTTGAGGTTAACAGTTTGGCATTTTAGAGGCATTGCTCAAATTCATCCATCATATTGCTCTAATGACATTGGCATTTGGTACTTATTTCACCCCTTTCATTTTGGAAGGCTAATCCTGCTAGTCCTACTCACAGTGAAGGGATACACCGACTTGGCCCATTACACTGGACTCCTTTGTGTCAACAACTCAGTAAACAAAGAGACATATCTGGATGCTTTTGCAGGGGAAAAAAAGAAACAAAAAAAGGAACTATTTTGTGTATTGCCAAAGAAACCAAAGCATTAACAGAGTAAATGAAAACTTCACTACATGGGTGATGGAAAACCGCTAAGTGATAATTTCAGTAAGTTTCCTAAAGGTTGCACCCTGCTTACAAACTCTTGATTAAATCCTTTCTAGCTCCAAAACTCTTGATCTAATTAAAACAAGATGTATTTTCAGATAATGACATTAGAACACTCTGTAATTTCTGTGGCTGATTGCACTCTGCAAGAGCAGGGAAGGAAGGTGAATGACTGGGTGTGTGTGAGCCTAGGTACGTGTGTACGTGTGTGCAGTATCTGAAACAAGGTGGAGCTGAGTCTTAGTTGAAAGAAGAAAATCAACGTCAGCAATTTCTGGATTTGCTTTGGATTTTTTTTTTTAAGAAAAAAAACCCTTGTAAAAGGTACAGCCTGCAAAGCAGCTTGGCTGTGTTTCCCAGGGTAAGTGAAGAAAGGTGGTAGGCAGTAGAAACAGGATATTGAGGCACGTATCTAGATAGAAGGGTGGTTGACCAAAGTCATTGAACATAGATCTCCCATCTTCACAATGAGCTGCCTAAATTCTGTCTAGAGCAGTATTAGCTGGGAGACATCACCACACAACAGCTGCTGGGTGGCTGAGGAGAAAATAGCTGTTGTGGCTTCACAGCAGCTCCCCCATGGGACCCACTAGGCCACTTCTGCAGCCAGTAGTAATTTACACCCCTATTTCCATTGTTAGCTCCATGGCCATGAGGCAGGCCTGGAAAGGTGAGAGCTTTCCCTCTGAGAGGCCCCTGGGTTGTGGCTAAACTTGTAGAGTGAGCACTGCAGTATCCTTTGAACACAAAAACAGAGCAGGCAGCTGGAATCTAAGATAGGGAAGGAGATGGGTTAAACTTGCTCTCTTGCTACTCACCCAGGGAAAAGCAGTGAGATTGGTTAGTGAAGAAAGAGACAGCATCTCTATCTTAGGATGCAATTGTCAAAGTCACAGTGCAGAACTGAATTTCATATTGCAGATGTTTCAGTTCTGGCTGTCATTTGCTCTCCTGTGACAAATACGTGTTTCTGAATCAATGACTGGAGGCAGAAAGCAGAAAAAATCATATTTTCATGTTTCAATTGGAATTGCTAGAGCAAACTGCTATGAGAAGTGATAAGCTGTTCATTTTGGAAAGTGCTGGTGAAAAATCAAAATCCATTCCAGCATGTGCTTTAAAGCTAGGTTTCTCAGATGAGCGATTTGTGACCTCTTTAGGGGCCAAAAGAGGCTTTGGGCAATACTACAAAGTGTTATATAGCATTGTGCAGCCCCTTGGCTCCTGAGAGAGAGGCAGTGCAGGTATGAGCGTCCTGTAGTTGCACCAGCCAAGGCACAGCACCATAGTTTGAGTGTGCTGTAGGAACTCAGCTCCTTCAGACTTGTGGAATGTGCACTAGGCAAGGACAGTGAAGAAGAGGAGGTGTCCTATTGCCAAGTGTGGAGTCAGTATCTAAAAAGTAACAAAACTCGTGCTGGATCTATACTTGGTTCATCTATGCTAAGAATTTGAGATCTAAAATATTCAGGATGTCCTCTTCATCCTTAGTGGGAGATATTTGATCCACAAACTAGGATTAGTATCCTAGGCATGTAACTAACATGCTTTTTGGTGTTTGTCTGTTTAACATGGCTGAATTTGAAAATTGTCCTTTAGATGGTACTCCTGAGCAGCCTGAAGGAGATATTTAAGATTTGCTGTGCCTGCACTCACTCATGTACCTTCTCTGGAGCTGGAAAGCACTGACACATGTTTGGCAGGAGTGAGGAGGATGGTTTGCTTTAGAATTACTACTTTGGCAGCAACACCAGCTCAGCTAGGCAAAATCTATGGGCAGCTGGAGAGATAAGACCAGATTCCAACCCAACATCTTTCTTCTGTGCAAACGAATAACAGCAAAATTGATCATTTAGGATAGTTTGGATGGCAGAGGGAAGCACTAAAACTGACAGTACCCTAATTTTTTAATCCCTCTCCTTTTTGTCATCAGCCTGCTTGTTACTGGTGGTATCTATGTGAGAGTCAGTTGATACATATATTCTAATTATTTTTTCAAGTAAATTAATGCCTAGCACTCAGACTGTAGTGTGGAAGAGATTGCAAGTACAGGCAAGTTGTCCTGGCTCACACTCTGTCTAGGAAGGTGAGACTGCAAAGAAGCAGGAAAGCAGCACACTACAAGGAGGTGGCACGCTCAAACCAACACAGCAAATCAGAGCCAAGAGCAGGACCAGATCCTGTTACTTTGATCCACTATTGGAGCTACAGGAGAAGTGTCTCTCCACTTCTCATCTGGGGATCTTCTGGAAGAATAGGTGAACAAGGAGAGCAAGTTTAGGCTGCTCTTCAAGACCAGAAAACTCTCAATATCCTGCACCCACTGGATTCATCCTTCCCACAACCTGTTTTAGCTTGCAAACATGGGAAGTGAGTTGATGCTCTGGCTATGAACAGAGCAGTGTAAGACCTGAGTCAGGCTGTCTGACTTTCTATGTCTGTGACTCCAGAGGACAATCTCAGATTTTCATTTCAAATCCTAACCTATGGGATGAACTGGCCTATCACTCTCGTGATTTGACATTATAGTCCTAAGGTCTTCTATTTAGAAAGACAACAGTGATGTAAAAGTTTTAAAATAGTGCCTTCAGTGTGTGCCATGGAGACTTCCCATGCCATTTAGAAGCAGCAAGCCTCTAAAATGTGGGCAACACTGATGCAGACAACTAAAACCAACAATCCCGTGTCCAGCAACTGCTTGGGTTTGATCCTGTAAAGATGTACACCTGCTGGAAACTCTAACTAACAATGTTCTACAAGCTCCTGTGGGGTTTCAATCCCTTTCTTTTATATTGTGCTATAATGTTGGAATTGTCTCCAAAAAGGAATGGATGATTCTTTAAGTTTCAGCAATCACCAAGGAGCTGAGCAAGAGGTTGGTTGACAAAGATACTGCATGTGGAAGATGTCACTAAGTTAAGACAGTAGGGAGCCAATGAAGATACTTTTTGCCAGCTTTTTCATTAAAATTCATTAAAACCTTTGCAAACCAGAAGATGTTTTGGATTAACTGCCACATTCAAATTAAAAACCCCCAGCTTTTTGCATACTTTTGTGCTTCAGTATTCACATCTTCAAGTGCCTCTTCTCATCTATTGCTATTGCTAGGAATTTCAATCTTGGATTTTTTAAGACTTTAGGCTTTTCACACAGGATAGGTTTTAAGATTGTTTCATTTGCCTATACAATGTCTCACCATGCTCAAAGGAATGTTCAGAATGTTTTGGATCCCACCATCACCTGATAAAAATTAGGAAGAAATGATGGAAACTTACACATTGTAGCCAGGATAGGAGTAGAGTTCCTGCAGCACCGCTTAATTTCTTGATAAAGTCACTGTACAAAAATTGCTGGAGTCCAGCTTTCATTCCTGGCTTCAGTAACCCACAAGACCTTCTCAGGGACCTATTTCTTCATGTTTTCTTTTTAGTCAGTGTCAGGTTACAATTTGGCACTTTGTACACAGCTTTCCTTATAACTATATCCAGGCCAGGACAGCTGTAAAGCTTGCAAGTCAACAGCTTGCAATCAAATCCAAGGACCTCAGCCACCAGGAACACAGTCTGTCAATAAGACAAAAATAAAAGCTACCCACCAGTTTACCATGCTTCAGTGTCAGGGATATTTAATTCCACCCCTTCTAGCTTGGAGTAACAGCAGTTTGAAAGTATTAGCTTATTTGTGTGTGAGTTCACCAAATTAGGTGAAGCATGTGGAATGTGGGTGGAATTTTGATATTTTGTGCAGAATTTGAAACTCATGAAGATGCAAAGAATTGGTGGCCAGTGAGGTAAGTTATTATAGGCAAATATAATATAGCTATTTGTTTTCACATTTTTGATTCATATCATGATGAAACTAGTAGTTTGGAATGATGTGAGTTTGGCCAGCCTTGGGGTAATTTCCAGAACACCACAGCTGTTATCTGTCATTGCCTCATTGATAGTCACTACATAGAATTCAAGGAATTACCTGTTGTAGAACAGGAACTCTCTCTTCATCCTCAGAGAAGATTTTTCCAGTTCAGCAGTGAATACAGCAATCGTTGCATATGGGTAGGGAAATAAGGGAGGGAAAATATCAGTTTCTAGAAACTTACCAGAAGAAGCGTGCCAGATTTTTTTTTTCTCTCCTGCATAAAAAAGAATACACCAGTTATATCTTGTAAAAACTGAACAAGAAGCTTTTTATAACTGGAAAAAAAGCCATCAGGCAAACACTGAATTATCACTTTTTTTAATGTTGGCTAAGCATAGTTTTATTTTTCTCTGCAAGCCCTGTATTTGTCACACTGAGTCATCTGAGGTCAAGCAGCTCAAGCCTCTCTGCCATAGTGCCCATCTTTTCTGGGCTCAGTCTTGGCATGCTGGCACAGTGCAGCTGTTGGCATGCCAGGCCCAGCTTGGCTTGGGTGCCCCTGCTAGTGCAGTCAGTGGTGCCTGGCATGGACCAGCAGCTCCTTCAGCCGCGGCGTGTCGCCTTCCCCTTGCTTGTGCAGAGCCTCACAGCTGGGACCACATCATCAATAAAGTGACACTGACTGTGGGGAGCAGAAAGTTCACTCTGTGAGATTTCTTTCTCCCAATATTTCCAATTCTCTCTGGTCTGTCCTGTTTTATTCCTGCATTTTATTACCATTTCAGCCTTGCTGCAGACCTCGGTCAGTAAAAGTGACTTCAGTTGGCTGCAGTGTGTTAGAACCTTATACCACAAGCTATTTGATCTCTCTTTTGGGTTTACATTTTCCTTCTGAGAGTGAGTGATTTTTTGGCATGGGAAACATTTTTATTAATGATGTACTTATCTCTGTGTTAGAGTTTTGTGTGGTGATGTTGTTTGGATGTACCTGATGATACACTGCTGAATATTTGGCAGAACTGAGAACCCTTCACCTCAAAACTGGCTGTCAGTGTTTGTCTTTCACTGAAATAGCACAATGTTGGTTTTGAGCAAAATAACCAAACTGGATAGGGAACTTATCATGACAGTGATGATCCAAAAATAGTCCACAGTATAAAAATCATTACAAGGTCAAGTTTCCCATTTGAAGTCTCTAAATCTGTGAATCACATTTTCCTCTCTTAGTAAAACAAGGATGATAATCTCTTCTGTGCAGTGTGGATTCATTCATTACCATTTCTAGAAAGCCCTGAGTGAGCCTATTTCATAAGTCTGGCTCCTTTGCCACCCAAAATTCATTTTTGGTAGGTTATGGCCAAAATCTATCCTGGCATCACTTGACTTCTCCAGCCAGAGAGAACCCTAAGAAACACATGAAATATTATGCCTTTCCTTTTTGGGTTAAACCCACATTCACCTATACTTTGTACACATTTCATACAGATAAGTCATAAATATACAATATTTATGTCCCCAAATGAGTCCTAAAACAGTTGCAGGCCTCTGACACATGTACTCAATTTTACATTCATGGGATTGTCCTCTTGGGCCACAGAGTTAAATATAATGTCTGAACTTATAGGTTGAATCATTTGATTCTGAACTGGAAAATATCAGCCCTTTACTTAAAACCTTTAATAATCAGCAGATTTCTTGCCCCCCAAAATAAAAAAGCTAGGATGGTTTTTACACAGAAAAAATGCAGAAAAACTGTTTAAACAGAAAGAGCAGAACACAACATATAGTTAATACTTACAGGGATTCTAAGCAGGCAATTTTAATTATCTGATTTTCCATCAGTTCTTTGATTCCAAAAAATGCCAGAGGATTTTTAACACCACAAAAGATCTAGCCCTCTCTTTCAACTGTGGGAGGCAACAACAAACTGTAGGACATGCATCATCATCTGTGACCATCTATTTTCCTTGTGAATTAGGCCTTTGGTATCTCCAGAGGAACTGGATTTTGGGTTAGCATGAAATCTCATTGTTTTGTTCTACAACAAAGATGCTGATTCTTGTTAGCTTTTGGGAGTTGGTTTGTGATGTTTGGGTTGTATGATCAGGATCATGCACCATATGGGTTAGTTATCAGATCCTTCATGAAGTTATATTTTCTCTACACCAACTAAAAATCCCCAAAGGGGCGATTTTCTTACTCTCATCGTTCTGTAAGACAGAAAGAATGCTGTTGATTTTTTTTCCTTTCTGGTGACAGGAAGTTTTGAAGCATAACAAACAAGATGCTTAGAAGAGTTGTAAAGCATACTTTAAGACATGGCATTAAGGTATTATTTATAATTCTTTTTTTTCCCTGAAAGTATGCAAGATATTCTCTTAATTAAAGTAACTGAACAAATACATATGTTGTTCCATGAGTGCAACTAGTTTCTCCTTTAAAATAAAGATTTCTATCATTTCGTAAGTATTTTCTATAACACACTGGAAGACAGAATAAAAGCACTCCGCTTGGAAAACACTGTCAGCCCAGGAAGAGCCTTAGGGAAGATGGATTTTGAACAGCATGAACTGTGATTTTTTTTTTTTTTTTCCCCTGTCTGTGGGGTGGGCTTCCCCAGACAGAAAGGTATATTGTGTCTCATGGTCAAATTTTCAAAAAAAAAGTGAGAATTCTGTTTACCCTCCAAATGGGTGGCCAACTCATCACAAAGAATTGTCTGTCAACTGAGTAGATTTGTGAGAGGGGTGAGTGGTCCTACTTACAGACTGAACCCATGACCTCCTAATCCTATCTCATGTGTAGTGCCTGCCAGACTGTTCAATGGTCATTAGACCTGGGTGAACAACTTGGACACAAAAAAAAAAAAAAAAAAATTGAGCCATTCTGGGGATTAAAGATCCAAAGAAACCAAAACCCAGCTCCCAAGGATGTTCTGGGCTTTCAGCTTCCACTCAGTTTTATTTTATAGTAATGTCTTTCCCATGCTGCATGTTTGTTCTGCCATGGCAGAAAACTTTCATCCTGGATTATATAGGCTATGCTAGGAAAACTTGAGGATATGGCACAAATGCTTTATGTGTGAGGTAGAGAAACCAGTGTTTAATGATTCATGGTAATGGCATAATGCAATGGTAATCCAATAAAATCAGGCACTTTGATTTTTACTAGAGATGAAATGGTCAGAAGCTGGATGAAAACACTGGCTTAATTCTAGAAGCATTACTAGATAGAAAATTTTATATCATCCATATTCTTTAGAAAATCCATGAATTACGGAAAATTCAGAAGCACTGAATGATTTGAACTGTAAATCCTAATTCCTAGGGTCCCTTGAATATACAGACTGGCCTAGAAATTAAACAAAGGGTGACAGTACTTAGGCCTGCAACTGAAAGGTACTTTGTCACCAACACATGTAACTCTACACAAGAAAAACTTCTCTGGCTTTGTTTGAGACACAAGAGAATGACTTAGTAAGGCTAAGAACATCTTCCTAGTTCCAGCTGAGTCACTGCTCATTCTCCTGAGCAGTTGCTCTGACTCTCAGAAATGTAAAGAAACCAAAATACATCAAGCCTACTTTGACTACTGTTTATTGGGAAAATTGATTCCTACGCTGTAATTCCACTCCATACCACACCAAAACTTGGTGTAGATTTATTCAGACTGTGTATCAGTGGGAGGCAATATATGCAGAATTTTTAAAACTCTTAAAAATAGGTCCTTTTAAAACACAAGCTTTGTGTATTTTAGGTACTTAGTGAAGATACTTTTACTTGACCTGTCTCAGACAGTAAAACCTCTAATGTAAATAATTAAGCACAATCTAAACAAACTGTTTTTCTATACTTTTAACCATACTTCCCCTCCATCTGCCCCATGTTCTCAAAGTCAGATGCTGTAAATCAAACGAGTGCTCATAACTGGACACTAAACACTGGACAGCTACTGTTCCACTAATGAGGGGGGGAGACACAAGGAGTCATTTGGGCCTGTTCTACACAGCTACAATGCAGTCCATGCAGGAGCTGAAGAAGTCAGAAGCAATGGTAATTCACTACAGAATGAGGACTGAAGAGCCACTTTAGGTCTCAGCTCTATTTTACTAAGTGGAGCTAAAGACATGGAATAGCAAAAGCAGTTACCTTGTTTTTATGTTCCTGAGAGGAGAAGAGGGGAGTGTAATTCCAGTCATGATGCATAGTTCATCTTCTGGTGCAGAAAAGCTTGGACCAGTGGGAGAGAACACTGAAAAGGAAGATAGAAATCATCAGAAGTCTCATGCACGAGAGGAAAATTTGAGTGAGGGCTATTTTGTTCTGCAGAAGGTTAATAAACAACATAAAGGGCAGTGCAAGGCCTTCGGGGACAAAATATTCTGTTTCCATTTGGTATCAGAGAAGAAGGCCTGAGCTTTAATTGCAGAAATTTAATAGAATCATAGATCAGAAACATTGGAATATTCCAAATTGGGAGGGACCCACAGGGAGGGGGTCAA